TTATTTATTCATGACATCTTTATATTTAATTTTCCTGGTAATATAAAAAACTTACTTTAACAGTTAGTGTGGAAGAAAAATTTTAACCGCACTAATAGAATTGAAATTCGAAATTACTATTGTAAATCAACAGGCATTGCCTTAATCAGCTTCGAGAAGTTTGAGGGGAAATCAAGCTTTTAGGTCCTCAGGGGATTTGCTTTTCTGATCACTTATTCTAGTAGGTAATCTACTAGAATAAGTGATCAGAAAAGTCAAACTGCGTTCAGGAGAAAAACTGCGTTCGGCAACACCCAATTTACTAGTTCAATGAATAATACAGACCAACTGANTTTCTTTTATTAAAATTATTAATAGGATAAATATGTTGTTAGATGAATTCGGAGATATTGATGTATTTATATTACTTTAGGCATTTTTATACAGGTAAAAAAACAAATTAGATATAAAAAAAACAGTTTATACTCAGTTATATTGATATCTTGATTAATTCCTGTCTTGTAAAGATTAATGTTATTATTTCCTTTTAGCTTGTATAATATTTAATTATCCCGGTTAGAAGCGGAATATGCTATGAGTTCTACCTGTTAAAATCATATAAATACGCCGACAACATAGAAATTCTTAACAGATGTAATAAAGACATCAACGAATATAAAGCTTACGTTGGAGTTATTTATATTTGCTTTTGCTTTTTCTCCAATTATTTGTTGGCACGATTCAACAAATGTTAAACCTGCGGATCCTTACAAAGCTCTTATACAGTCCAATGGACGATACTGTGGTAAGTTTTAAAATATTTTATTAAACTTTCCAGACAATTTNCGTTCGGCAACACCCAATTTACTAGTTCAATGAATAATACAGACCAACTGACCGGAGCAGCAGATATTTTATTTACAACAGAGGATTATTGAGCATGAAATGTTTGTGCTAGATCAAATATTATATTTGGTACAGAAGAGAGATCCGGCAAGTATTTTATGTGGTGCAAAGAAGACAGAATGATTTCTATATGTGGGGAATTCATACTGTTAAATTTTAGACATTGTAAGTTAAGGAGGAAGGGAGATATGAAGGGTATCAAGTGTCACATATCGAGTGGGGTCATATTTAAGGAAAATTTTACTTGTTATTCGCATTTACAATTTATCTAAAATGTTATCTCTATATNTTTTCGTGAAAAACTTTCTATTCTGAAAGTTATCATCATCGTTCGGATTGAGAGAGTAAAATTTAAAAAAAGTAACTAAGCTTGCCCATGAAGGCCGGGCATTTTGCTCCTCTTTCCCACGGACCTAGCATTGAAAGTTTGACATTGTATTTCGAATAGGAAATTGTCTGATGAATGTTATCTTCTTGTTTTCTGTATAACGGGTAGAATATTATCTTTAATTCTTAATGTCGTCTTCGAGAATTTCTTCTTCTATAAAGCGCAGTTCATTGACAACGTTTTCGTCTTCGGGTAATCTCACTAACACGTTGTCGTCAATTGATATGTCAGGATATAAGCGGTTGTTTACTACAAGTCATGGCAAAGCACAAAGTACAGTACGTTATTTTGCCCAACTCTAAAGTCTCCATTGCACGATGGACCAGTACGTCTGACCAAAAGGACGTTCACTTCTGATGAAAGCAACGTTGCAAATTTTTGGATATTTAATAATGTTGCCACTGTATCGATATTGTCTAGCATCTTCTGCAGCGCAAACTTTGTATACATTTAACATAGACTGAATGCGAGCGATTTGTCTTTTTCTCTATTTGTGTGAGACCCGGAAGTTTTGGCTAATTTCCAGGATTAATGTTATTCGACTGCATTTTGTGGCTTCTTCATACAAGCTTTGAAAATAGGTCCAAATCTGCCATCCACTAGCTGTGATCGTTTGCAGTTTGGACATGAGTACGAAAGACCACGTATAAATAAGGAAAAACTACATATTAAAACAGTTTTTATTACTTTACTTATTATAGCCATGAGCGATGATGATAGGGCCGATGTTAATTTTTGCTTGTTGGAAAACAGAAATTTTCTTGTAAGTGCTCTAAAGGTGAACATTTTATTTCAAAATATGATTTGCAAATAATAATTTTAATATTATGTTGCATTTAGTTGTTGGAATTCTACAAAAACTGTATTCAGCAACTGAAATTCTTTCAAACTATGGCAGAAATCAACAATTTCATTTGTCAATCCAGACAAACAGCGCCACGAGTAATTCATTCAAATTTTAAAACATTATAATAGCTATTATTAACTTCAGTAAATAATAATATTTATATTTGTAGGTATATGCAAAATTTATTAAATGTTTTGCTCCAGCTAAATATANTAATTCATTTAAATTTTAAAACATTATAATAGCTATTATTAACTTCAGTAAATAATAATATTTATATTTGTAGGTATATGCAAAATTTATTAAATGTTTTGCTCCAGCTAAATATACTTTAAGTTTTGACGACCCGAAATTGTATCCTACTTTGAACGTAAGTATTACTTGATACAGTTTAATTAGCTTATATCTGTATGTATATGTCAATTGCCGCCCTTCCTTCAGGAAATACATAATACACATTAAACTGAAATGACAGTCATATAATTCTTGTAACTGTTAACTCTGGGAATAGTGGATAATTTTACTTTTCTTATTGTTAAAAAAATATTTAAAACAATCTTTTTAATACCAAAATGCCGTTTTGGCGGACAACCCCTCCGCCTGTTCTTACCTATGCTATAGTATTATTGATTAATTATGAAAATACAGGAATGTGATTTTTAAGTACAGGAATATCGTCAAATCTATTGATGAAATATTTCATATATTTTTTAAATTATTTAATATAAAGTGAATAGAATCGTGAAATTAGAGTTATCGATTAGGCTTTTAAACTCAATTATATTAGAATTTTTTAGCCAAAAAATATCAGTGCAATAAATACTAATAAAAGGAATAGTAATACAGTAAAATATACTGAAATTATATCACATTACTGAATTACTGAATATCAATTACTGAATTATATCACACCAAAAAAGAACAATTTTGTTTCAGTGTTTAAAATTTATTTTAATAATTAAAAATTCTTTTAATTTAATGTTTGAATACACCAAATGATAGAAATAATTAATTAGTATTGCAGTTCTCTTTCAATATCAATACAGTAGAGCGTCGTTTATCCGAAGGTCGGTTATCCGAAACGTCGGTTATCCGAAGGAATTTCAGTCGACAAATTTAAATTTTCGCCAGTGCTGTGGCGCTGTAATCTTTGGCTATGTCTTCGGCTACTCAAATATTTTACGTTTTTGATACTAAATTAACTTCTGAAGTATAATTTTTTTATTGTTTTTATATTTTTCAATATATTTATTTTGTTTGTACAAAATAAAAAAATAATTTTTAACGATACAATAGTCTTCGTTAGGCTTAACATCGACGAAAATTCAACGCGAAGCGACAC